TTAAAATGTAAAAGCTGTAAAATGGGGTCACACAAACCTACCCTCTCAGTAAAGTATATAGAAAAGTTACATAAGATAAAGGTATGGTATTTGGTATATATATATATATATATATATATATATATATATATATATATGTTAATTACTTGCTTAATTTGTTAAAAGACATAGAACCAGGGATCCCTGGGTGGCGCAGCAGTTTAGCGCCTGCCTTTGGCCCAGGGCGCGATCCTGGAGACCCGGAATCGAGTCCCACGTCGGGCTCCCGGTGCATGGAGCCTGCTTCTGTCTCTGCCTCTCTCTCTCTCTCTCTCTGTGACTATCATAAATAAATAAAAATTTAAAAAAAGTTTAAAAAAAAAAAAGACATAGAACCAGTATTGTAGAACCTAACTGCTCTCCTAAATATTCCCTGATCCATTGATTCTGTCACCCTTGCCCTGACTCTCACTCTCTGATGTTCTCATTTACCTCTCAACTAATTTAGAGGCCACAGCTCATCACTATGGTTACCAGTCTTTTGTATATATGGACAACTCTTTTGTGTGTGTCTCACTAGTTATACTCTCCTGATAAAACACCAAACCTGGTTGAATCCAATTCCCTGCCTGTTCTGTGCTTGCACTTCTGCAGTAGATGTAGACTGAGAAGAAACTTATAGCCATGATGATTAGTCTCATTTTCAATTTATGACCACTAAGGTCAAGGGGCCCTTAATGCTGCCCAGGTATCCTACTACATTTGCTTAGTCCAACCATTTTCTTAAATGACAACTTCACAGCTTCTCCTCTCCAAGCCTCTGACAACTCCTCCCATTTCACTCACAGCTGATGACTTTGCTTTCTATGAGAAAAGTACATTTGCCTACCTTTCTCTACTGGAATCTGTAGGCTCTACTTTCCAATCTGGTATCTCCTAGGAAGATAATTTGTGTTCCACAGACAAAAGGTAAGAAAGTAACTCAGAGGAGGAGATTGTCCAAACATGGTAGGTCACCCAAATGTGTCACTGTCCTAATCCCAAGAAACCAAATGTTACCTGATACAGCAAAATGGATTTTGTAAATGTGACTAAATTAAAGATCGCGAAATAGGGAAATTATCCTGGATTATTCAGGTAGGTCTGATGTAAGGCCTTATATGAGTCCTTAGAAGAAGAACACAAGAAGAGTCAGTGCAAGAGAAGGTAATGTGATGACAGAAGCAGAGGTTGGATGGAGTCAAGCACTTTGAAGATGGAAGTAGAGGCCATAAGCCAAGGAATAGAGGCTGTCAAATGTACTTTGAAAAAGACAAGGAAATGGGCACCTGGGTGATCCCGGGGTCCTGGAATGAGTCCAGCATTGGGCTCCCTGCTGGGAGCCTGCTTATCCCTCTGCTTATGTCTCTGCCTCTGTGTCTCTCGTGAATAAATAAATAAAATCTTTAAAAAAAAAAAAAGAAAAAGACAAGGAAACAGATCCTCCTCTAAGCCTCCAGAAGGAACCAGCTGTGCTGATACCTTGATGGAGCCCAATGAAACTGACTTCAGACTTCTGACCCCCAGAAACAGGAAAATAAATTTGTGTTTGCGTTTAATGCAATCCCTATCGTTTAATGCAATCCCTATCAAAATACCATGGACTTGCTTCAGAGAGTTAGAACAAATTATTTTAAGATTTGTGTGGAATCAGAAAAGACCCCGAATAGCCAGGGGAATTTTAAAAAAGAAAACCGGGATCCCTGGGTGGCACAGCGGTTTGGCGCCTGCCTTTGGCCCGGGGCGCGATCCTGGAGACCCAGGATCGAATCCCACGTCCGGCTCCCGGTGCATGGAGCCTGCTTCTCCATCTGCCTATGTCTCTGCCTGTCTCTCTCTCTCTCTGTGTGTGACTATCATAAATGAATAAAAATTAAAAAAAAAAAGAAAACCATAGCTGGGGGCATCATAATGCCAGATTTCAGGTTGTACTACAAAGCTGTGGTCATCAAGACAGTGTGGTACTGGCACAAAAGCAGACACATAGATCAATAGAACAGAATAGAGAACCCAGAAGTGGACCTTCAACTTTATGGTCAACTAATATTCCATAAAGGAGGAAAGACTATCCACTGGAAGAAAGACAGTCTCTTCAATAAATGGTGCTGGGAAAATTGGACATCCACATGCAGAAGAATGAAACTAGACCACTCTCTTGCACCATACACAAAGATAAACTCAAAATGGATGAAAGATTTAAATGTGAGACAAGACTCCATCAAAATCCTAGAGGAGAACACAGGCAACACCCTTTTTGAACTTGGCCACAGTAACTTCTTGCAAGATACATCCACGAAAACAAAAGAAACAAAAGCCAAAATGAACTATTGGGACTTCATCAAGATAAGAAGCTTTTGCACAGCAAAGGATACAGTCAACAAAACTAAAAGACAACCTACAGAATGGGAGAAGATATTTGCAAATAACATATCAGATAAAGGGCTAGTTTCCAAATCTATAAAGAACTTATTAAACTCAACAGCAAAGAAACAAACAGTCCAATCATGAAATGGGCAAAAGACATGAAGAGAAATCTCACAGAGGAAGACATAGACATGGCCAACATGCACATGAGAAAATGCTCCACATCACTTGCCATCAGGGAAATACAAATCAAAACCACAATGAGATACCACCTCACACCAGTGAGAATGGGGAAAATTAACAAGGCAGGAAACAACAAATGTTGGAGAGGATGCGGAGAAAAGGGAACACTCTTACACTGTTGGTGGGAATGTGAACTGGTGCAGCCACTCTGGAAAACTGTGTGGAGGTTCCTCAAAGAGTTAAAAATAGACATGCCCTATGACCCAGCAATTGCACTGTTGGGGATTTACCCCAGAGATTCAGATGCAATGAAACGCCGGGACACCTGCACCCCGATGTTTCTAGCAGCAGTGTCCGCAATAGCCAAACTGTGGAAGGAGCCTCGGTGTCCATCGAAAGATGAATGGATAAAGAAGATGTGGTTTATGTATACAATGGAATATTACTCAGCCATTAGAAATGACAAATACCCACCATTTGCTTCAACGTGGATAGAACTGGAGGGTATTATGCTGAGTGAAGTAAGTCAATCAGAGAAGGACAAACATTATATGTTCTCATTCATTTGGGGAATATAAATAATAGTGAAAGGGAATAGAAGGGAAGGGAGAAGAAATGTGTGGGAAATATCAGAAAGGGAGACAGAACATAGACTCCTAACTCTGGGAAACGAACTAGGGGTGGTGGAAGGGGAGGAGGGCGAGGGGTGGGGGTGAGTGGGTGACGGGCACTGAGGGGGACACTTGATGGGATGAGCACTGGGTGTTATTCTTTCTGTATGTTGGCAAATTGAACACCAATAAAAAATAAATTTATTATTCAAAAAAATAAATGTAAATTTGCCCTTTTAAAAAAATAAAAATCAATTAAAATTATTAATAATAAAAAAATAAAAATAAATAAATTTGTGTTTGTTGTTATGTCCCTAGGTTTGTGGTAATATATTACAGCAACAATTGGAAGCTAATAAACAAATGAAGGGGGAAGATACAGAGAAGTCCAGGCAACATTTGACTCCCAGAATAAACCTGAAGGGAAGGTACTGGGGAGAACTGGAGTGGTGCTGCATGGAAGAATTTTGGCGCCCTCCCCTTGAAGGCTATAACAATTAAAAGCATCTCAAGAGGCAGGGTTTGTGTCCCTGGTAAATTTATGATACACAGTAAATAATATAGAACTTTTATTTTTTATTTTTTTAAAGATTTTATTTATTCATGAGAGACAGAGGCGGGGCGGGGCGGGGGGCAGAGACACAAGCAGGAGTTGCAGGCTCCCCGCACGGAGCCCAACGCGGGACCGCCAGGATCAGGCCCTGGGCTGAAGGCGGCGCCAAACCGCTGAGCCACCCGGCTGCCCATACTATAGAATTTTTAAAAGCAAACTATAGGCCCATATATGTGGCACGACCCCATGTTGTTTAAAAAGTATATGTATATGCATATGCACATAGCAAAGAGTTCTGAATGTTGCAGGACTGATTACCTCATCTGGTATCTTTGCTCCAATAACCAACCATACACAGTAACAATAGGATTGCAAAGCACATCCTGACCCACACACCCACACACCAGTACCCCTTAATCCTGCAACTCAGCTCTATTTTTCCCCTTACACATATCACTTTATAATAAATTCCATGCCATTTATAATTAATTGCTTTTTTGTCCCACTGAAGTTTGACATCCACAGTGATTTTTAAATTCCTGGAACATGGTAGGCCCTCATGTTTGCCAAATGAATGAACTCTAGAACCGAGACGCTGCTGCTGAGTAGCATATACTCGTTTCAGAATATTTTTAAAAACAAAGACAAAAATTACAGGTGATACTTGCGTTCTTTTCACGCCAGTAACACTTTGCCAAAATAAAACATCCTTTAATGGGTGTTCCTAAATAATCCTTACGCGTCTGTAACTAAAAAATTTTTTGAATAAATAAGTATCTTGAACAAATTAGACTCTAACCTCAAAGAACAGCCAACAAACCCGCAGAACCCAGGGCCGAGAGCGCGCCCTCGGCTTCGCGGTCGGTGTATTCCGGACCCGCGCTGGAAGCGTGCGCCGGAAGCGGGCGTGGCCATCCCGCGGCTTTCTGGGACTTGTAGTTCAGAGCCATTAGGCGAGGGCGCGGGTCAGTGTCTGGAGTCCTGCTGTTCCAGGTGTCGGATTCCACGTGGGAGGTGAGACGCTCGGGACTGGACAGCCAGCGCCCCGGCAGAGAGGCGTCTGGTGGCTGGGATGTGCGCGTGCCTCGGGGGAGGCGCAGGGCCGCTGAAACCCGGAGCCCTGGCCGGGCAGCTGTGGGAGGGCGCGGACCCGGAGGAGGTGCGGCCAGGGGCCGCACGTGCGCTCTGGCGTCGCGACAGCCGCTGGGTCCGCGGGACCTGACTTTGATCACTGAGTCTGAGCGGACTGAGCGGCCTCCAGCGCAGAAGCGGCTGCGGCGCGGCACGGCACGGCACGGCACGGCACGGAGGGGCCCATCTTTCGCTCGCCTGAGCTCTGGCTTTGGCCGGCCTGGAGGCTTCGTAGCTGGCCGCACCGGCCATTTCTGTGTGGCGACTGGCCTTATTACAAGGTTTTCGGTGGACGTCAGACGACCACGAAGGGCCCCTTTGAGGGACCGAGGTTTCTGCCCCCGTAGCACTGTCCTCACATCCCAGACATGTGGCAGGTCGGGGAAAGCCCCTCAGGGAGTCAGAATCCCTTCTGAGGCACCGCATCTAAGCCAAAAGCTCCTCCTCCTCTTTCTCGAACTTTAGGGCAGAAATCAGAAACCCTGAAGAAATGGACACATCTCAGCCAGTGTTGCGGGGGGTGGAGGAATTTATTCACCCTCGTGGGTTTGGCGGAGAGGCTTGGCCTGTGTAATCCAAAGCCCTGCGGAGACCGGGGAGGGAGGTGCCGCCTGGGGAGGCTCGGGAGGCTCGGAGGCATCGCCGAGAGGGTGTGAGGGCCCGACCGGAACGGGTTATCAGCAAGAGCAGAGTAACTTTTTTCCTACAGTTGCTGGACCGACTAGCGTGTGTCCTGCAAGGTGAACTTGATTTTCACGGCATTTCTCTTTCCTTAACTGCCTTTCCAGGACTCTGTCCCTCCTGAGAGGAGGAGATGACCAGGTTCCAGGTGAGTTGTGGTTTCTTCTCTCGGAAAATGCCCTGTCTCTGAGAATGAACATGACCTTCCTTTGCTTGAACAAAGGAAGAACGTCAGCATTAAGCGAGTGCCTCTCTGTTGTCAGGTCCTGTCTTTGTTCTTTACGTTCTTGTTATTGCCATGTATGTGAGACATACATTTTGTAAATATGGGTGTAAGAACATTAATATACTGAGAACATGTAGCTATCAGATGATGTCTCCAGAGTCTGCACAGGTGGCTGCTTGGTTTAAATTCCACACCATTTTTCATTGAACCACCCTCCCTCCATGAACTTGGCCCATTCCCCAGAGCACACAACTATTCTTTGAAAGACTTCACACAGCATCTTTGCTTGGTCCTCTCTCAAAGTCTCCCTTTTCCTGCCAAGACATTTCACACACATTGAAAGTTATTCAGAATTATCACATGCTCCAGCCAGTGTTAAGTGGTCTCAGGAAAACAAATAGAAGTATAAATTTTGGTGCTTCTCTCCATGAGCAGATTCTACATATTAACAATAACCATTTATTAGACATTTAAAAATTTGTTAGATGCTGGCATAGTAGTTATCAAATCATTCCCAGAATAGCTTTTTAGCCAGGCTGTTCATTAGCTATATGTGGTGTTTTTTAAGAATTAAGAGTCCTAGACACTCTCTCCATTCAACCTACTAACAGGAGAATTTCACTTTTTTTCTTAAATCCCATTGGCCTTTGTACATCCAAAGATTTGTTGGATTTATTGTGAGATATTTCTCCACATACTGATATAAGCATCATTAAGGTAGGTAAGATGGGTTATTCATCTTTTGTGCTCTGGTTGTTTTGTCCCTTTACCAACATATCTGTATGTTTAATTGGTACAATAAATTGTTAAATTACCAAGTAGCACTTTTTAAGTATCTGATTTCTTACTTATCTCTATAAAACCATGCCTCAAGATGGTCACTTATAGTCATAGAATGTTTGAAATGGGAAGGATCAGCTTTGGTGCTGGCGTTTTGCAGAGGAGAGCTCTAATTCTGAGAGAGCTAACGGGAAGCACTGTGTTCTTTGTTGCAGAGTAGTAGAATCGGAAGGAAACCGCATGTCTTCTAACTCCATGCTATTCCCTCTCCATAACTAAATAGGTCAATTACACCAGAAGTTACTTGAATCAAATATCAGGCTGGATTTTAAGGAAGAAATAATTAGCTCTTAATACTATCACCGCAAGACCGTCTTTTTGGTTGGCAATTACAGTTCCTATGTGCATAGGAAGAGACCATGAGCTCTTATAAAAATCCGTTTAGAAGGCAGTGAGCTCCCTCAAGGTCCTGAAAGCATGCCATCTCTGTGGCTTGAAAAGGAACTGAGGACATGAAGGGAAATTAATGTGAATAAGCCCCCGTGCTTTCTGTATTTTCCTTTTCCTCTACCTGGTCCCTGATGAAGACTATTTATCACAATGTTAGGGATTGCTAATATAGTGAAATTTTAAGATTTTTATATATGTTAATAACTTGAATTTAAAGAAAGGATTTCCTTCCTTGGATACCTACTGAGTGTTGTCTTATGTACCAGACTGTCCTTGAGTCTGCTGAAAGTCAGGAGTCCCAATTTAACCCCTCCCTCTGTGACCTTGAGTAAGTCACTTCAGTGTCATGAGCCTTGGCTTTCTCATTTGTAAAATTAAGAGTGTTTTCTTTGATGATCTCAAAGTTCAGTTTTAGTTGTATCTTTTCATTATTCATTTAAATTGAATGTGAATTTATAAATATCATTTAGATTCCTAGTCAGTTGTGCTCATTGCTGGGGATTTAAAAATTAGCTGAACATGGCCCCTATTATCCTTTAGAATCCTGTAGCCAATATGGAAGACAGATTTTATAGCTTTGATAGAGCTATGTGAAAATACTATGAGAAATTGGAGGAGGAGGCATTTAACTTATCCTCATGCTTCAGAAAGGCAGTTGTTGATTGTCCTAAAACGAAAGGAGTTGTAAGATGGATGGGAGAAATATAAGTCAAGGCAGAAGCAGCATGTAAAGGGCTATTCTAGACTACAACATGACATTTGGTTGACTGAGGGTAATCCAGTTTGACAATAGCTCTTGTCCACCTCCTGACTTGCATTACTATTTCCTGCCTCTAAGTAAATTGTTGGATTCAGCAAGGATGAGCTCTGGGAAGGAAGTGGAAAGCCACATGAAGTAAGTAGTTTTAAGGAGCTTGACATTTGTTGGGTGGGAACAGAAAACTACTAGTCCCATGACCGGACCCCTTTGGTTAGCTTTCAAGATATTGAGTCCACCTTGGATGTGGGGGAAACTTCATTACTCAAATTCCTTCATTCCCAACTTTGTCTTTAGCAGAACCACTATTTTCTTTCCCTTTTCCTTTGTCACACTGATTCCTTTCATTTGGCCCACTGTCCTACCATTTGTTCTTCTGGAATCTTCAATCTACTGCAGTTAGTAGTCCATCAATATATCCTTTAAAAAAATAAATATATATGTATAATATAATATATGTTAGTACATATTATATAAATAAATAAATATGTGTAATATATATCTATGCCCTTTCCATTCTTGGCATGGAATTGCCCTCACCACTCTTGTTTATGAGATCTTAAAAAATTAGTAACTTTGTCTTTCAGTCTGTGGATTGAAGGGTGACAAAACTTGTATTTTAAAGACTTGATAAGGAGTTATTGTGATCGAGGTAAGAAACGAGGGCCTTACTGAGGACAGGGGCAGTGACAGTAAAGAAGAGGTAACAATTTGTTTTTTTTGTTTTTTTTAAAAAATAATTTTTTTTTTATTTATGATAGTCACAGAGAGAGAGAGAGGGGCAGAGACATAGGCAGAGGGAGAAGCAGGCTCCATGCACCGGGAGCCCGATGTGGGATTCGACCCTGGGTCTCCAGGATCGCGCCCTGGGCCAAAGGCAGGCGCTAAACTGCTGCGCCACCCAGGGATCCCTTTTTTTTTTTTAAATAATTTTTTTTTTTATTTATAAGAGGTAACAATTTGGAGGGAGATTTGGGAGATGAGTTGACAAGATCTAAAGTGGTTTGAATATTATTGAGATAGGGTAGGAGTCTTAGACCATCCAGATGACTGAGTAAAAGATGGATAAGAAATGAAAGGGAAAGGGATCCCTGGGTGGCGCAGCGGTTTGGCGCCTGCCTTTGACCCAGGGCGCAATCCTGGAGACCCGGGATTGAATCCCACACCGGCTCCCAGTGCATGGAGCCTGCTTCTCCCTTTGCCTGTGTCTCTGCCTCTCTCTCTCCCTCTCTCTCTCTCTCTCTCTCTCTCTCTCTGTGACTATCATAAATAAATAAAAGTTAAAAAAAATGAAAGGGAAAAAAGATAATTGATGGACTTGAATTTCAGAAGGAAGAAAAGGATTGGATCTAGAATGCATTGGGAGGGGTTAGCCTTGGACGGAAAGAAACCTTGTTCTGTTCATGAGTGGCTAATACTACTGCTTGATGTACTTTAGGCCCTGTTGTCCTAATGGGTGTATATAGGACTCCCTGAGGTGCAAGCTCCACTTCTACCCCTTCTCTGTCCCACTCTTGCACAGGGACTTGCAGACTTCTTTAAGATTTATTTATTTGGGAAGAGCGCGTGTAGGGGGAAGGAAGGGAGATCCTCAAGCAAACTCCCCACTGAGTGTGGAGCCCAACACGAGGCTCAATCCCAGGACCCAAGCTGAAATCAAGGTAGGGTTAAACACTTAACTGACTAAGCCACCCAGGTACCTCTGGATTTGCAGGCTTCTTGAGCCCAGTCTCATCTCTTTCACCTCAGACACAGTGGAGACCCATGGCCTTGAAAAGGGAACTGCCACCTTCCCTCATTATCACCTTCTCCATGGGTAATAAGTAGGGTAGTCGTGTCACTCCTGTAAGCAGCCTAGTGGTCTTCAGTTCCCTGAGGAGCTAGTAGGTAGTGCCCCTTCAGCCTCAGGCCTGAGGGGTCAGAGTTCTGAAGGTTATGAGGCATTTCCCTGGCCCAGAGTTGAACTGCGTCTTTGGCTTCACTTGGTTCTCAGTCATTTTGTGTGTATTCTGTCATTCTGCTTTTCAGGGTGTTGCCCGTGGCCTCTTGCCAGCCCACAGACTGCTTGTTACCAGTCTGCAAAGACATAAGGAAAGAAACTAAGAGTGTTTAAAAATATATTTTAAAAATGGTGTTAGTATTTTATACATCTAGGTTTTTTTATTTTCTAGTAACTCTTTTTTTATTGTATTTTTCAAAAATACCTATGACAAAAATATCTATGACAAAAGTCATATTAGAAACATTTTAAAATAAACTAGTCCTTCACCAGGGGTAGTTTGAGAAGTGTTGGCCCCATCAGCAGAACCCTGGAAGGAACCAGAGTCACTGTGAAGTTAACTAAATTAACTTCTGGACTCCTATTAGATGCCAGGCATTCCTTGAGACCTTGGGGATGCAAGGATCAACTGTCTCTCTGTTCTTAAGGAATAAATATTTTAGTGGGGAGAATTTATTAAATAAGAAAGCAAATGAGTAAATAAGAAAATGGGATAAGACATAAGTAGTACAAAGAAATTAGAACAAGAAGTGACAGTTTCTGGGTGCCACTGTGGATTAAGCAATCAAGGAAATGCTTCTCTGAGGAGTGGCAGTTTGGCTCGCCCTGAATAGTAAGTAAGGAACCAGGCATGTGAAGATGTAGGAAAAAAAACATTCTGGGCAGAGGGGACAGCCAATGCAAAGGCCCTAAGTTGGGTTAACTTTGGTGTTGTCAAGGACCTACAAGGTCACTAGGGCTGAGTGTGACACCTAGGGAGAAGTGATTCGGGCTGACTTTGGAGAAGTGACAGGATCCCAGTCTGTAAAGCCTTGCAGACCAAGATGAAGAGTCTGGATCTTACTTGATGTCCATTGCAAAGCCTTTGGAGGGTTTCATACCTGAGTGCTGTATGTTTTAAAAGATCACCCTGGCTACTATATAGAAAATTCATTG